TCTATCTTGTTCTCCACTGTACTTCCAGCACCTCAAACTCTACCTGGCACATGGATGCACTCTTTTATTTGTTGAATGAATGAACCAACAAACAAAGTAAGTTGCCAAGACCAAGCCACTGGTAAGTAGAACTGGGATTCCAACACAAGTCTGTCTGACTCCAGAACGCAAGCTTTTTTTTTTTTTTTTAAGATTTTATTTATTTGACAGAGAGAGACACAGCGAGAGAGGGAACACAAGCAGGGGGAGTGGGAGAGAGAGAGAAGCAGGCTTCCCGCAGAGCAGGGAGCCCGATGCGGGGCTCGATCCCAGGACCCTGGGATCATGACCTGAGCCGAAGGCAGACGCTTAACGACTGAGCCACCCAGGCGCCCCCAGAACCCAAGCTTTTAACCACTGTCTTTAGTCCGTTGAGGCTGCTAAAACAAAATATCACAGACTGGATAGCTTCTAAACAACAGAAATGTATTTCTCACAAATCTGGAAGCTGGAAGCCCAAGATCTGGATGCCAGCAAGGTCAGGTTCTGGTGAGGACCTGCCTCCGTGGTTTGCAGATGGTGCCTCTGTACTGTATCCTGCTTGGTGGACGGGGCAAGTGAGCTCTCTGGCGCTTCTTTCCAAGGGCATTAATCTCATTCGTGAGGGCTCCATCCTCATGACCCAATCACCTCCCAAAGGCCCACCGATATCATCACTTTGGGCATTAGGGTTTCAACATATGAATTTTGGGAGGACACAAACATCCGGCCTAAAAAGCAACCACAATGCAAAAACCACAAACTTTGCTTAAAGGGTAACTTTTCATTTTGAGGGGCGCCTGGGTGGCTCAATCAGTTAAGCATCTGCCTTTGGCTCGGGTCATGGTCCCAGGGTCCTGGGATCAAGCCCCACATCGGGTCCCTGCTCAGTGAGAAGCCTGCTTCTCCCTCTCCCTCTGCTGCTCCCCCTGCCTGTGCTCTCTCTCTCAAATAAATAAAATCTTAAAAAAAAAAAACTTTTCCTTTTGATATAATTTCAAACTTGTAGAAGAGTTGCAAGAATGGTACAACGACCTCTGATCCGCAATTTACCCAGATTCACAAACTGTCTACATTGTATCCCACTACAAACCTTTTAAAAACTCAATGGACTGAGCAAATCCGCTATGCCCAAAGTCTGTTCCTGTGTACACCAGAGCCTGCCTCATCTTTCTCCTATCCCTTCCTTCCTATCCCTCCCAGCCCCAGTCTCTATCCCCTAGTCCTCAGGGCATCCTCATATCTCTAGCTCCAATTCTGCCAACATTTCCCAGCCTCTCTCCAGATCCCACCCACCCAGCACTGCCCCAAAGGCCCTGCTCCCTTCCTGCTCCTCTGTCCTAAGCCTGCAGGCATGGTAACACAGAGCTGTGCGGGAAGCAAACTGCAAAAAGGAAGCTGTATTCACAGGATCCCTTTGATGAATTCATTATAAAGAATGCTAAAGTAAATATGTACATAGTAAAGATCAGAAACTGTTTTTTTTTTTTTTTTAAAGATTTTATTTATTTATTTGAGACAGAGAGAATGAGAGACAGAGAGCATGAGAGGGAGGAGGGTCAGAGGGAGAAGCAGACTCCCTGCTGAGCAGGGAGCCCGATGCGGGACTTGATCCCGGGACTCCAGGATCATGACCTGAGCCGAAGGCAGTTGCTTAACCAACTGAGCCACCCAGGTGCCCTAAAGATCAGAAACTGTTGAAGTAAAATCCCTGAAATACTAAAAATAGGCAAAACAGAAAAAAAAAGACACCAAATAAGCAAAAGTACTTAAATAGGATTCCATGTCCAATGATATGAAATGACAGAAATGCGACATTCACTGTATGAATATATTTATATATATATGCACATATATGTTTATATTTACACACACACACACACACACACTTTTGACACAATCTACTTCAAGAAAATATAACCCAGAAAAATAATTCCAGATACAGAAAGAGCTTTTATGATATTTAGTTGTAGTATTTTTTTTTTTTTAAGATTTTATTTATTTATTTGACAGAGAGAGCGAGAGCAGGAACACAAGCAGGGGGAGTGGGAGAGGGAGAAGCAGACTTTCTGCCAAGCAGGGAGCCCAAAGCGGGGCTCGATCCCAGGACCCTGGGATCATGACCTGAGCCGAAGGCAGACACTTAACGACTGAGCCACCCAGGCGCCCCACAATATTATTTTTAATAGAGAAATTTTACTTATAATCTCTTATCCAACAACTGTTATTTTGGTATGTTGAGGCAAAGAAATATTGTGCAGTTATCAAAACTATTTATAAAAACCCTATAATAATACAGTAAAATGTTGGGGTCCCTAGGGGGCTCAGTTAAGTGTCCGACGCTTGGTTTTAGCTCAGATCATGATCTCAGGGTCGTGAGACAAGAGTGCTGCACTGGGTGTGGAGCCTGCTGAAGATTCCCTCTCTCCTTCTCTCTCTCTCCCTCTGCCCCTCCCCCGCTCACTCTCATGCTAAAAACATAATACAGTAAAATGTTTATGAAGTTTCACGGGGAAAGGATTACAAGTTTACATCTATAATGTGATAACAAGCTATATATATATATTTTTTAACACCCAGAACATGCACTATGAGAGCACACATTAAAATGCTGACGATGGCTATCCCCAGGTGGAGGGATTGTAGTTGGTTCTTGTTTCCATTGCCATAACTCCGCTACAGTATCCAACGTTTTCTACGCTTAACACATATTCCTAACATAAGCCAGGGGATATGGATTTAGACAAACACAATATAAATGCATCACTGAACAAACTGTCCTAAACTTAGAATTCCTATTCCCACAATGATATCAACAACTTTGACATTCCTTTTGGGAAGTCTTTTCCCAGCTTTTACTAGGCCCAGGGAATGCTTTGATCAATGCGCCTGTGCTAAGACATCAAGATTTCACTGAGACTACCTAGTCAATTCTAAAACGACAATTTTCAATAATGGAAAATACTTTTTAAGGCATACTTTCCAATTATCCCATTCTCTGCCCCACCACCACCACTACCACTGTTTTAGTGATTTCTTGCCTGTTGATGCCATAATGATGTAGGAATGGTAGAGTAGCCATACTGCTATGGGAGTGAAGTGGTACTACCCAGCACAGTGATCCCACCTACCCAGATACTTGTGAGGCCTAAGATGCCATCTGATAAAGAAGGAGCAACAGTTTAACCCTTGAGGGCCCCAGACAGGTTATACAGCATCTGCTGTGGTTGGTGGGCTTGCAGCTCACCCAGATGGCAGGGTCTCTGTTACAAAGACGTAAGCACCAACCATCAGGGTGGGGAAACAAGGGGCGCCTGGGTGGCTCAGTCGTTAGGCGTCTGCCTTCGGTTCGGGTCATGGTCCCAGGGTCCTGGGATCGAGCCCCGCATCGGGCTCCCTGCTCGGCGGGAAGCCCGCTTCTACCTCTCCCATTCCCCCACTTGTGTTCCTGCTCTCGCTAACTCCCTCTCTCTGTCAAATAAATTTTAAAAAAAGAAAAAAAGGATGGGAAACAAAAATCCTTGGAAGAGCAGGGTGCTTTATAAACAGGATTTTACTGTATTATCAAAACAATACATTGACAGTACTGCTGAGATACACAAGAAAAACAATTTGCCTGATTGAAAAGGACAAAGATACAATGCTTAGAGATGTTTCCCAAAAGATAGGCCTCACATCACTGGGGTATACAAGATGAATTTTAGGGGCATGGCACAGGACTGTAGGTGATACAGTGAAGAGCATCAAGTTCCACAGAAGAAATTACTCCTGTTTAAATTCATTTTCAAAATTTCAGATTCTGTTAAAGAGAAAGTCTCAGGTAACAGCATTATCTTTATCATCTCCTGAACACTTGCTAATCCCCCTTTTAAATAAAGAAAAAAACAAGCCCCAGTCTCAGAACCTTCCATGAACAACAGTCCCTAGAAAGGAAATAATATGTTGTTATATTTGTTGAGAGGCAGGAGATTCTTCCTGGTTTTAAGGAGCTCTAGAGTAAACTAGCCAGAGCTGCTACTTAGTTAGTAACTGTGTGTAACAAATTACTTTACCTCCCTGTGCCTCAGTTTCCTCATCTGCAAAATGAGGATGGGTAACAATACTTAACACATGAAGCTGGTGTAAGGACTTTTTTTTTTTTTTTAAGATTTTATTTCTAGGGGCGCCTGTGTGGCTCAGTCATTGAGCATCTGCCTTCGGCTCAGGTTGGGATCGAGCCCCGCGTCGGGCTTTCTGCTCAGCGGGAAGCCTGCTTCTCCCTCTGCCACTCCCCCTGCTTGTGTTCCCTCTCTCGCTATGTCTCTCTCTGTCAAATAAATTAAAAAAAAAAAAATTTTTTTTTAAGTAATTTCTACACCCAATATGGAGCTTGAACCTACAACCCCGAGATCAACAGCTGCATGCTCTACCGACTGAGCCAATCAAGCCCCAAACTGGTGGTGTAAGGAGGATTAAATGAACTAATTCATACAAAGTCCCCTGAACATTGGTATATAATAAACAGCAATTTTTGTTATCGTGTGTCTGTGTTTGTTTTTTGTCTTGGGAAATTTCTACCTGTGGTCCTGGTTTTCCATTTATAGTGATAACAAAAAGTGGCCCTCTTGAATAAATTAATATAGATTAAAAAAAAAAAAAGATGAATCCTGTTCAGATAACTGAACCTCAATACAAGGTCAACTCACCAGGGCGGGGCCATACCACAGGAAATGAATGCTGTTTCCTATTGTCTGAAAGCCTGGTTTTTCTCCAACATGGGGACCTGTCACTTTTTAACTTTAACCCAAGATCCCTCTGTGCTCATGCTCTTAGCAGAATGAGCTCTCACTCGGCAGGTGCAAACTCCACTCTTGTGCTTCCTTTCCCGACAACCTCGCTTTCCAGCCCGTTTCCAATCCCCAGCACCAACAAAAGGGGAGCTGAGTGTTCTCACCACCCACTGGTACCCCAACAAGAAGCACTCAGGGCAGAAGCCAACTGACCTTCAGGGCTTTGAAGATGACCCCCGGGTGCCGGGGAGAACGGGTGGTGTTATTCTCTAGCTGCTGCTCCAGAGCTCGCCGCAGCCCAGAAAAGTCGGTGGGAGGGTTGTAAGTCCTCGTTCCCTTGTAGTGAATGGAACTGAAGGCTTCAGGGAAGCGGCCCAGCTTCCGGAACCGGTCCTGGATGAGCTTTTCAGGCACCTCCGAGGGGTGATCTGGACAAGGAAACAGGTACGTAAACAATAACCTTTCTTTAAAAAAAAAGATCTGTCTTGCATCATAAAAGTAATATATAATCTGACTCTCTAAAGTACATAAACAGGCAGAACTAATCTATGCTGTTAGGATTCAGGTTACTGTTAACCAGAAGGCAGCATGAGCAGGGCTTCCCCATGAAGAGGGTGCTGGCATTTCATGTCATTTTCTGCTACTGATTTCACGGGTACAACCAGACTGTGAAATCATCATATTAATACACTTGTGATAGGATGTGCACTCTCTGTATATACATACTTCAAGGGAAAGTCTTTTTTAATGTGCTCATTGTAAAAAAATCCAAACAGGTCAAAGCATGAAAGAAATAGATTTCCTCTGCCCCCTCCTACTTGCCAGAGGAGACTACAATTCAGTGTTTGTTTGCCCATTCAGACTTCTTTTTCCTACGCACATACCAACACATACATGCAACTTGCTTGAATCAATTACATACTGTAAGGACCTATTCTTTTCATGATACTCTGAGAAGTTCCTTATTTTTTTTAATAGCTACATAGTCCTCCATCCTATGGACATATTTAACCAGTCACCTACAAATGAACATTTAAAACAAATGGCTACTTTGAACATGCTGGTCTTATGCTGGTGAAGCTACAGACAAACTGCCAATGTAGCTGAGGGTAGTTTCACCAATATTTATCCAGAAATTTGTGGAGTAGTATTATAAATGAATTCAATAAATATCCTGGAGATAAATGTTAGAAGGACTTTTTAATTTCCTCTAATATTTTAATAACAACAACAACAAAATCACTCCAATTACTACTGGAGATACGGCCTTACTCATTTAAAAGTACAGTCATCAAAAAGAAGTAGCCAAAATTCTGTAGTTCATCCCTAAATCCATCTCTCCCTGAATTTTTCCTGTGGCAATGACTTTGGGTCCCAGGGTATCCCAGGGTCAACCATCAAGGAGTGACTCCTCCCAAAGCCACCCAGGTACTGGCTTGGCCCCCCTCCCCCCAACCCAACATCATCTCACAGATTGTCTCTGGACATAGAATCTCTGCTCCCAAATGATTATGGGAGCTGGGTTCGCCTCATTTGTAAAACAGAGAATTCATTTGCCTTCTAACTCCCTCCTAGAATCCTCAGTCCAGAAAAGGAACAGGATCAAATAAAATCAGAAAATGGGACGCCCCAGATGGCTCAGTCGGTTGAATGTCCGACTCTTGATTTCAGCTCAGGTCATGATCTCAGGATCATGAGATCAAGCACCAAGCCCCGCCGATGGGCACGGAGCCTGCTTAAGATGCTCTCTTCCTCTCCCTCTGCCCCTCCCTACTGTTCACTCACTCTCTCTAAAAAAGAAATCAAAATAAAATAAAATAAAATCAGAAAGTATGAGACAGAAAACTCTTAATTATCAATTTGCCCACAATTCTGGCACCTCTCCTTTACCCTGCATAAACTCTGGCTGCCTTGGTTCCATCTCCAAATTTCAAGCAGCAGCAACAGTATTCCTTAGAAAGAGCTCTGGATTTAGGAATTAGGAAACCTTATTTTGAACCCCAGTTTTGCAACTTACTAGCTGGAAAAACTCTTGGTTACATAACTCAAGCTCTCTGAGTTCAGCTTCATCTGTAAAATGGGGCTGCTATTGAGTGGGCCGAATAACAAGGATACAGTAAGTTAGCATTTATTTTTTTAAAAACCACCTAACGTGGTATGGTACAAAGCAAAAAAAAAAAGTTATTTGTGAAGGGCTGGTTATTTCAAAATCCTGAACTAGAAATTAAACCTTCCCCTTACGAAGGTTGTAAAAATCCAAAGTGGCATAAAAATGCAGATCACGGGGTGGGGGGGGTTGGCGCCTGGGTGGTTCAGTCGGTTAAGCATCTGCCTTTGGCTCAGGTCATGATCCCAGGGTCTTGAGATCGAATCCCACATCGGGCTCCATGCTTAGCAAGAAATCTGCTTCTCCCTCTCCCTCTGCCCCTCTGCCTGCTTGTGCTCTAGCGCGCATGAGCTCTCTCTCAAATAAATAAAATCTTTAAAAAAAAAAAGAAATGTGGATCACAGGAAGCATCCTCAAGTCAGTATTTCCAACCTTCTCTCCTTACCTCAGGTCACCTGATAAGAAGCATCTGCTGGAACATTTAGATTTCTCATTCTCCCGCTAGACTCGGGTCCTTCTGATTCTAACTCTTTAATATAGCCCCAGTCTGTCCATTTCCCTCCTGTGCCACTGCCCAGGCTCGGCCCCTATCACTTCTCATCTAGCACCATGGTAATGTCCTGGCTGGCCTCCCTGCCTCCAGCCATGCCTCTATAGTTCATCCTGCAACAGGCTGCCGTACGATCTTTAGAAAATATAGATCCGATCGTGTAACTCCCTGCTTAAAATCCTTCAGGGGCTCCTGTCCTATTTGAGAACTGAGTCAAGGCAGCCCATGCTCTGACCCCCAAGTAACTCCACCATTCCCTCCAATACAATCTGTGCTTCAGACACAGTAAGAACCTCTTCATTTATTCATCCAACAACGCTGAGCATCAAGCACTCATCCAGGCTCTTTAGGCACAGCAGTGAATAAGACAGGCAAGGTTCCTGCCTTCATGGAGTTTCTGTTGTAATGGGAGAGAAACAAAAACAAGTAAGCAAACACACAGGAGGATCTCAGATAGTGACAAGGGTCCTGATGCAAAGGAACAGAGCGATGCAGTAAGCGTGCAAACTCGGGGGCAGGAAGGACCACTCTACAGGGGATGGTGAGCCAAGGCACCAAGGGGGTGGTTGCTGAGCTGAGTCTGAAGTACGGCCTGCGGAGGGAACAGTGTTCCAGGCCGACAGAGCAGCGTACGCAAAGGTGGAAACACAGAAAAGGCTGGTGTGGCTACCGGACGGAGCATATACAGAGGTGGTGTGTGCATGCCCGTGCGCGGTGGGGGCATGTGGGGCAGTGGGAGGGGAGGAAGGGGATAACCAGAGAAGGAGTTCAGAGAACAGGCAGGACTCAGAGTAAGGACATCGTCATGAGTTTGTAGGGAAAGCCACTGACAGCTTGTAAGCAGGAGCACGGCACGATCTAAAGCATAAATAAAGCTTGGGAAAGAGCACCTGGCTGCTGCGTGGAGCACGCACGGAGGGGCTAGAGGGGGCTCAGGAGGCTCTGGCAGAACTACCTGCACGAACCCTGCGGGTTCCGGGACACAAGCTGCCCCTTCAAGCCACCAGGGGTTTGCACGTTCCAGAGCATCCTTCCTCTCCTGCCCTAGCAAGCCACGTGTCTAGGTTCAAGCCCCATCTCCACTCCTCTTTCCCAGACCCCCTCAGGAGGTGTAACGTGTCCCTCTTCCGCACTCCCACAGCTCCAGAACCCACATCTGCTACATTAGAGAACACGTGTGGGCTCCGCAACTGGACAGGGAGCTATTTGAGGGTGAGAACTGCTTTTCTCAGCTCTGTGCCCCAGTATTCAGCACATGGCATTGTGTCACTTGAGAAATCTGGCTGACTGGGCGTCCGCGTGGCTCAGTCAGTTAAGTGTCTTGCCTTCGGCTCAGGTCATGATCCCAGGGTCCTGGGATCAAGCCCCATGTCGGGCTCCCTGCTTAGCAGGCAGTCTGCTTCTCCCTCTCCCTCTCCCTCTGCTCCCCCCTCTGCTCATGCTCTCTCTCTCACTCACTCTCTCAAATAAATAAAATCTAAAAAAAAAAAAAAGGAACTTTGTTAACTGATGGGACGCCTGGGTGGCTCAGTCGGTTAAGCATCCAACTCTTGATTTTGGCTCAGGTCATGACCTCAGGGTTGTGAGATCGAGGCCCATGTTGGGCTCCACGCTGGGTATGGCACCTGCTTCAGATTCTCTCTCTCTCCCTCTGTCCCTCCCACCGCTCTCTTAAAAAAAAAAAGAAAGAAACTACGTTGACTGAATGAACAGGTAAATGGTATGAGTGAGTGGGAGGCTAACACTGCTGTCCCCACCTGTGTCCAATTACTGTTGCTGCACTGCTCCCTCATCCTCAGGTCATCCTCAGGTAGGAATTTGCTTCCTACTTCTCTAAGGAAACAACCAGTAAGACAAGTCCCACACACATACCACATCTACCAATTACCTGCAACCGTGTCCGTATACTCTGCCTTCACTCCTGTGCTAACGGAGGGACTGTCCATGTTTCTAAGGCCAACCCACACACATGGGCCTCACTCCAACTGTTCTGCTCGCTTCCATCTGCATTGTTCCCTTCCTAGTAAAGCATTTGCACCAGTACACAAATATCTGCAATACCTCCCAGCTTCAATTTAAAGGAGGAAAAACCCCTTGAAATCCCACATCAGCCTCTAGCTATCATTTCATTTTTCTGCTTCCCTTTATAATAGAACTCTTTGAAAGAGTGGAATATATACATAACCTTAATTCTCCTCCTCCTATTCTCTCTTTAACCTATCCTGATCAGGCTTTCACACCCATCATCCCTGGGAAACAGGTCTTATCCGGATCACCAAGGCTCTCTCTACTGCCTAAGCCAATCGGTAATCCTCAACCCTCATCCTGACTGGATTCTAACACTGTTGCTCACTCCACCCTTCTTCAAACACTCCCTTAGGTCTTGCCCAGGCAGAAATTTTGCTGGGCAATCGCCCTCCACCAAGTTACTACAGAAGCCCAATGGCTGCCTCCTTGTACCCAGAAAGGTCAATCTGTGACGCAGTCCTCTGTCTACTTACCAGAGCCCAGCAGCTGAGTGTGCACAGTCTCATGGAAAATGATAACAGCAGGGCCTAGAGTGGACAAGGGGACATCCAGGCCACAGCGAGCAGTGGTAGCCTTGAGCTCCTTGGTGAAGTGCTTCAGATAAGCTTCTGAGGCGTCCCCAAGGAACTTGAAGAGGTCATTATGCAGCCGGTCTGCATGAGTTCGATAGATGACGAGGTCTGAGATGGCCAGGACCTTAAGCAGCAGTCGTGTTCTCTGGCTGAGATTCACCGTCGCCCCCAAGAGCCCTTCTGTGTCTATCACTGCTACTTTGTGGACTGGGTCATATGCCGCCCACACCCCCACAGTGCAGGACTCCTGGGCAGGGGAAGTTTTAAAGACTTCACGGCCATAAAAGAAAGTGTGGTTGAGAGTATGAGACTTTCCATCACCAGTATTTCCAAAAATGGAAACCACCTTCAAATGCTGATCAGGTTTACAGTCCAATTTCCTAATAAAGTCCTCTTCATTCATTACCTTCAGAAAAAAAAAAAGAAATATAAACCGCATAATAGTTAGAAAACTTGCAAGAACAACAACTGCTTCCCAAGGTCAAGGTCCTTGATTGAATGGTCAAGGTGGCAAAGAAAAGAAGCTCCATGGGGCGCCTGGGTGGCTCAGTTGGTTAAGCGACTGCCTTTGGCTCGGGTCATGATCCCAGGGTCCTGGGATCGAACCCCGCATCGGGCTCCCTGCTCGGCCTCTCCCTCTCCCGCTCCCCCTGCTTGTGTTCCCTCTCATGCTGTGTGTGTGTCTCTCTCTCTGTGAATTAAATAAATAAATAAAATCTTTGAAAAAGAAGAAAAGAAAAGAAGCTCCAGGATGATAGGCTCCCATCCAGCCTAACTCCCAGCAAACAGCTAGGAGGAACTTTCAAAGATTTAGGCAGTACAATTTAGTGCTCATGAAAGAGCTACAACTATAAAACTCTTAGAAGATGACATACGAGTGGAGTACTTGGGGGGCTCAGTCAGTTAAGCATCTGCTTTCGGCTCAGGTCGTGATCCCAGGGTCCTGGGATCGAGCCCTGCGTTGGGCTCCCTGCTCAGCAAGAAGCCTGCTTCTCCCTCTCTCACTCCCCCTGCTTGTGTTACCTCTCTAGCTATCTCTCTCTCTGTCAAAATAATAAATAAAATCTTAAAAAAAAAAAAAGAATTCCTTTAACTCAAGAAAAAAAAACTGATTAAATATTAAGCCAAAAATTTGAATAGACATTTTCCCAAAGATTTACAAATGGCCAATAAGCACACGAAAAAACACTCACCACCACCAGTCATTAAGGAAATGTGAATTAAAACCACAATGAAGTCTCACTTCATATCCACTAGAACGGTTATGATCAAAAAGATAGTAACAACAACAACAAAAATCTTCACATAGCTATTGGGGGCACCAACCAGCACCACTGGTTGGCTCAGTCGGTGAAGCACACGACTCTTGATCTCAGGGTTGTGGGTTTGTAGCCCTGAAGTGGATGTGGAGATTACTTAAATAAGCTTTAAAAAAATTAAATAAATAGGGGCCTCTGGGTAGTTCAGTCAGTTAAGCATCTGCCTTTGGCTCAGGTCATCCCTGAGACTGAGCCCTGCGTGGGGCTCCCTGCTCAGTGGGGAGTCTGCTTCTCCCTCCCCCTCCGCCGCTCCCCTGACCCCTCATATTCATGCTCCTGCTCACACGTGAGCTCTCTGTCTCTAATAAATAAAATAAAATCTTTAGGGTGCCTGGGTGGCTCAGCTGGTTAAGCGTCTGCCTTCGGCTCGCGTCATGATCCCGGAGTCCTGGGATCGAGTCCCGCCATCGGGCTCCTCGCTCAGCAGGGAGTCTGCTTCTCCCTCTGCCCTTCACCCTGCTCTTGCTTACTCTCTCTCTCAAATAAATAAAATCTTTAAAATAAAATAAAATCTTTAAAAATAAATAAATAATAAAAAATTAAAAATTAAAAAAAAAAGATTAACAAGTGTTAATGAGAGTATGGAGAAACTGCAATGCTCATGCCCTGCTGAGAATGTAAAACGGCAAAGCCACTCTGGAAAACAGTATGGCAGTTTCTCAAAAAGTTAGAGAGTTACCGTATATCTCAGTAATTCCACTCCCAGGTATGTATCCAAGAGAACTGAAAACATGTCCACACAAAACGTGAACACAAATGTTCATGGCAGCAATATCCATGATAGCCAAAAGGTGGAAACACCCACATCTCCATCAAATGATGAATGGATAAACAAAATGTGGTGTATGCATACAGTGGAGTATTATTCAACCATAAAAAAGCAATGAAGTACTGATGCATGCTACAACATGGATGAACCTTGAAAACATCATGCTAAGTGAAAAGAGCCAGACACAAAATACTACATATTCTAGGATCCCATTTATATGAAATATCCATGACAGGCAGATTCACAGTGACAGAAAGTATATTAGGAGTTGCCAATGGCTGGGGGAAGGAGGGACTACGGAGTGACTGCTAATAGGTAGAGGGTTTCTATTTGGGTTCATAAAAATGTCCTGGAATTAGTGCTAAGGGCTGCACAACTTTAGAATATACTAAAAACACCGAATTATCCACTTAAAGGGTGAAACAGGGGCGCCTGGGTGGCTCAGTTGTTAAGCGTCTGCCTTTGGCTCGGGTCATGACCCCAGGGTCCTGGGTTCGAGCCCCACATCGGGCTCCCTGCTCAGCAGGAAGCCTGCTTCTCCCTCTCCCACTCCCCCTGCTTGTGTTCCCTCTTTCGCTGTCTCTCTCTCTGTCAGATAAATAAATAAAATCTTTAAAAAAAAAAAGGGGGGGTGAAACATATGGTATACGAATTACATCTCAATGAAGCTGTTATTAAAAGGGGGGGCACCTGGGTGGCTCAGTCAGTTAAGTGTCCAACTCGATCTGGGCTCAGGTCATGATCTCAGGGTATTGAGATCGAGCCGGGCATCAGGCTCTGCACTCAGCATGGAGTCTGGTTGAGATTTTCTCCCTCGGCCTCTGCCCCTCCCCCGCTTGCGTGCATTCTCGCTCTCTGAGAGAGAGACTTCTAAGATGACCAAGAAGAAAAGGAATAATGGTCATGTCAAAAATGGCCATGGCCACATGCAGCCTATTTGCCGCACCAACTGCGCCTGTTGCATACCCAAGGACAAGGCCATTAAGAAGTTCGGTATTTGGAACATAGTAGAGGCCACCGCCATCAGGGACATTTCCAAAGCAAGTGTCTTCGATGCCTATGTGCTTCCCAAGCTGTATGTGAAACATACATCCACAGCAAGATAGTCAGGAATCGCTCTCGTGAAGCATCGTAGGACCAAACATCCCCACCCTGATTTAGACCTGCAGATAGATGCTGCCCTACGACCTCCACTAAAGCCCATGTAAGGAGCTAAGTCCTTAAGGACTGAAGAAAAACTGTTCTCTGGAAAAAAAATAAAATGGAGATTATACTAAAAAATGTATTGGTCAAACTTCATCCATCCATAATTCCTCTGTTTACAGTTAAAGAATGCTGTAATTCTTTTAAAAGTCAGGGCAGGAGGGAAGAGACCTGGTGCCAGTGAGATCCCAGACTGGACCCCCAGAAAGATGCTCAGGGCCCCGAATCTCAAAATACAGAACCTCAGGGCCAAAGCTCCTAATCCAAACAGGCAATGTTCTACTCCAGCAAGGAGTGATGAACCTTTACACCTAGTATCCTCCAGCCACAAGAGAAAACATACCTTCTGATTCTCAAGAGTCTGCTGGTTGGATAATGAGAAGTTAGGGAAATGTAGACAGACCATGGGTATGATAATACCCTCATTTCCCATAACCTCATCAAGATAGTAGACTACTCATATCCTATTAATAATATCACTATTGTTGCATTATTAATGCATTAAGGTTAATGACAACGCTAATAATTTACCCAATGCCCACTACAACGACAGTGCCTTTGCTAGATCCATGAGGGCAGAACCATGTCTATCCAATCTTTTCATCCCAAGTATCTGGGACACAACCTGAACGTAGGAAAAGCTCAGTATCTGGTTATTGAATGAATAAATGAATGAATGTCGTGCATGTTGCTAAGTACCGTAACCACTTTTCTCCACCCTCTATCCTCCACAGGGCCTCACACACAGCAGCATTCGATAAAGCTGGTGATGGGCTCACTGTCCCAGACAACTGAGAGGAACAAGAAGTTACACAGAACAGCCCATTTGGGACTGGTGTCACTCACTGGTCCCAAACAGCCAGGCTAGCCGCAAGAGAAAGAGAACAAAAGCGCCCTAAAGCTCTACTGGCAAGGAGTTTGATGAGGTCGCTGCTCTCGGGGCTACGTAAGAGCGGGCGCCTGGAAAGGGGGCACACGGGGGCCTTTTGGTACACAATTAACCGTCTCAGGATCCCTATGAAGTACCCACCAGGCGATGCACGGAACATATATCAAGAAACAACTCATTTGGGAGGCGCCTGGGTGGCTCAGTCGTTAAGCAACTGCCTTCGGCTCAGGTCATAATCCCAGGGTCCTGGGATTGAGCCCCGCATGGGGCTCCCTGCTCCGCGGGAAGCCTGCTTCTCCCTCTCCCCCTCCCCCTGCTTGTGTTCCCTCTCTCACTGTCTCTCCCTCTGTCAAATAAATAAAATCTTTAAAAAAAAAAAAAAGAGAAACAACTCATATGGGATGAAAATAAAGCACTCCCTGTCAGCACGCGGGGGGGTTTATTTTGGCACCCAGTGTCCTAGGGCAGGTTAAACATACCTGCTCATGTGTCAGGCATACGCCACCGAATCTGACGAGCTTTGGATAACCATTTAACCTGCACAACCTGCACTGACTGTATTGGTTTTCACATGTAAAATAAGGGCAGAGCCACTGCTGCCTCCCCTAACTGGGTGGTGATGGCTAGTCCAGTAAAGAGAGAAACGGAGAGGGGTGCCTGGGTGGCTCAGTTGGTTAAGCGACTGCCTTCAGCTCAGGTCATGATCCCAGGGTCCTGGGATCGAGTCCCGCATCGGGCTCCCTGCTCGGCAGGGAGTCTGCTTCTCCCTCTGACCTTCCTCCCTCTCATGCTCTCTGTCTCTCGTTCTCTCTCTCTCAAATAAATAAATAAAATCTTTAAAAAAAAAAGAGAGAGAAACGGAGAAAATGGCTGCTGAACTGGCGCTGTACTTCCTTTTTCCTTCTTCTGCCTTGCACATTATTTTGCTCTCTGTTACACTACTCAGCTCACCCTAAGCTGTGGGCCTTTTCCCCTGGGCCAGAAAGGAGAGAGCAGCCTAGGCAGTAGCAAGACTGATGGGGGGGGGGGGTAGGTAAAGAAAAGACAAGAAGATTCCCTTTGATGAGGAAAGGAAGGAGGCAGAAGGGAACAAGGCTCCAGCCCTACTGGTTCTGCCAGTTTGCAATCAATGACCCCACTCTGCTCCACTCCCGCGCCCAGCTCTACATGTCTGAAATGCTTCTCGGGAAGGCTGCCCTCTCCAACTCCCACCTTCTGCTCTTCCT